ATATCAATTATATTTTAAAAACAATTTTGACCAAAAATTAATATGATGAACTAGAGTTTATAAAACATTACCAAAAATTACTATGTTCATCATACAATATCTTTCAACATACATGAGATAACACATAATCATTTAGAACATTTAAAATCTCTTGCATGCATAAACTAAATGAGCAACTGAATAAAATAAATACATTAAGTTTAGAGGTTACCCATTCCTTTTTCATGTGTGGCTAGAGCATATTGAATATCATCATCTTTATCACCATTGCTCCCACACACCTACAAGAGACATTTAAATAGATTTTGGTATCCAAATTGCTTTGGATCCGTGAATGTTAGTTTCAATGCCCCTTGTTCCTTTTGGAACCCATACTTGTCTAATTTTAAATCTTTTTCCTTTCTTTAAAGGACAAGTATGTTCCTTATGACCATGATAATGACAATGTGAACATATTGTCATTATTGAACTAGATGAATTATTTAAAATGATCTCCTTTTCTTTTGTTAAGCATTCAAGCTTAACTTTTAAATCAAAATTTTCTTTTTCAATACTTTCAAATTTCATTTTTGAAAGCTCTAAATCCTTCTTCAAGAGTTTATTTTGATTTTCAAAATCCATTTTCGTTTCTAGAAGAAGTTCGTTTAATTTGAAAATTCCTTTTTCAAAGTTTTCAGATTTTAGTTTTGAAAGCTCTATCTCCTTTTTTCAACATTTCATTTTGTTTTTCCAAGTATGTTTTAGCTTTAGGTATAAATAATGTATTGATCATAGGATAAAAATATTATTATAATTATTTAGTATATGGTTTTGACGTAGTTAGGAAACTTCTCCTTTTTGACCAAAATTGGTAAATCGTATGAAAAGTATAAATGCATGGTTAAAAGCAGGGTGGTTGGTCAATCATTGGATTCAAAATTCGGAACCAGTAAGATCCATCTTTTTATTATTATTACAGTTGATAGTAAAACTTCATTATATCAACAAGGGTAGTTGTGATTGTAATTTTAAGTTAAAACCTTCCTGGAATTCCTCATAAACTGAGACTAGCAGAAGTCTCAAACTGAAGGCTCTTTACCAGTTTCCCTGATCATAGCATAAGCTAACCAAAAAGAGTTTTCCGGTTGGCCGGAGCGTGTCGTCCGGAAGACACAATTCTTCTCTAGATTACATGCAATGTGAATGTCAACTTTAACAGAATACTAACCCATAAGACGTTGTGTCATCCAAACGTATTTCCAACGGTTTTGCCATTTTTCCTAGTAAACAGAAACCTGAAATGTTACAAGTGCAAGAAAGCAGCAGGAAGAAGGGTACTCACATTGATGCAGATAAGCGATGTCGAGGTAAGTTAGCCATAATCTCTCTCATTGGGCATGCATGCAGAATCTGATCCTCAAAAACAATGAAAAACTGATATAATATGAAGAAAATGGAGGAAAAGAACAAGAAATGCCCCCCGAAAACTGAACCTATGATGCGCGGCAAGGGAGAAGGCAGGCCTTGAAAGCCAAACAAACAAGGCAATATAGGCTGCGGGAAACTTATTCATCAATTATTCTATTATTTTACTTCATCCCCCAAACTCCTATTATTATTTTGATTTCTCACCAAATACTTTTTATTTTTATTTTTATGTAATACATAATATTTAACTATTTATGGTGGGTTTTAGTAATTGGATGGTGGGGTTCCTCCTCAACTACTTATTACACCCATCTTCAGCTTCTTTACCATATGAGTTCCATTGCCCCCACCAATTAATGATCCTCAAATTGCTTCCTTTGCCATTTCTCATGAGATATAATTAATTATTTACGTCCAGAAAAATAAATAAATAAACCCCAAAATTTGTTTTCTTTTTTTGTGATTGGTGGTTTTGGCTTTTCGCAAAAGGAATAGGAATAATGGGGGGGAAACGTCTAGGTTTAATGGTCCTTTCAAACTTTAACTATTCCACCAAACATACCCTAAGTAAGACCAATTCAAAAGAATTATCAATTATCGAACAGAGATTAGCACATAATTTTGTTTTTAACTGAAGCATCAATGCGCTGTCCCATTAATCCGCTCCCGTTTTCCTTTTAATATCCTTTGCTTAGAATGAGAATTTTCTGATAAATGGTTTGAAGAAAATGCCAAATTCTTAGAACAAAGAATACAATGATGTTGTATATAATTTCAGTGGCGGATCTAAAACTATTTTTGATTATAGATATACATATAGTAACAAGACAAAATTTTTGTATGTAAGGTGGACACAAATAATTTAAATTCTTGAATCTCATTCACATTGGTCACTGTATAGGCTAAAACAAGCATGGATTTATGTTTAATGGTATAATTTGAATTTAGAGAATTTGAGAATTTTCATTTTGATCAAAATTGAAATTTTAAAGGGTAAACTAGTTATTTGATCATTCATCTATTACTTAATTTCTTTTTTGGCGACTTACCTATTACCTAATTTTTATTTTGATCACCCATCATTAAAAAATTAATGATGATATTGATGTGACATCATAAGATAATATCACATCAACGTTAATTTCCTCAATAGTAAGTGACCAAAATAGAAACAAAACGTAAACATTATGTATAATTTTGTAAAAAAATAATAGTTCAGTGATAAAAACAGAAACTAAGTAATAGGTGAGTTACCAAATAGGTAGTTTACCCAACTTTAAAATGTAAAACATGAAAAGATTAAGAATAAACAAACTAAAGTAGAATGATCAAATTCATAAATTTCACAAAGTAGAAGCTATAGAAAATTTTGACCAAAACATGTAATTTAAACCTTTTTTTCTATTAAGCTAAATGTAATTACAAAGTAGTATCTGTTTCAAGTACTATCAACAATTTGACAATAAACGTTCAATCACCCTTGCAGTCGCTGATGCTCGAATCCGTTATCTCTAAAAACAACAACGATTCATTTAACTACCGAAGTAATTTGGTTCGTAATTTAAACTTTTATGCGAAGAATGGGAAACTAGTAGGAAGAGAGAAGGTGGAGAAATGAAAAGTGTGTTGAGAAACAGAAGGTGGGACTTGTTTGTATGATGGATGCCTTGTACCCATCGCTACGTATCTCTCTCTTACTCCATCCCATCCCATGCAATTCAAATTTATTCTTTTTTTAGCAAAACAAACATCTTTCTTATATAATTTAGATTTGAACTAAACAAATTATGCTTCTATTTAATAACATTTAATGCTTCAATTGGTAAAGAAAGAATTGAATTTATTGAGACTATAATACACACACGGGATGTGACACTGACAACGTACGTGTATTTTGTATTTGAAGCTAAATAATGTCTCTGTGATTGAATAGTATGTGGTCCACATGGTCACCCATCCTATTATTTGTTTTATATGAAAATAAATTCAGATTGAAAAACTAATTATTTTAAGTCACTGTATATTCTTACAAAAATAGAAATTAATTATATAATAATATTTTTAGTAAATAGTCTTGGATGATTACATGATAATATAATGCCATTCAAGATTTTTAAGAAAAATAACATTATCTTTTATCACTGATATCGCTTGATAAGTTGAATATAAAATAATCTTTTAAATGTATTTTAAAATATTTATAAATTATTATTAATTATAAAATAATAACATACATTATATAAATACATGTGAGGTGACATGTTGATATCCGTAATTTAGAACCGTGTGAGTAAGAAGCAAATAATGATGAATGACGAGACTAATTGTGTTTAATGTTGGGTGTCTGTCTAATATTGAATTCGATGGTAATGGTTGGACCGCTTGATAACTCAGTCTCACTGACTCACCCAAAAATTCATCAACAAAATCTCAACTATTGTACTCTGCAAACTAAGACAGATGACCCATTACCCATTGTGACTTTTCTTAAAAGGATTTTTTTAATAAAAGAATTGATGTATTAATAAAATATATTATTTTAATTTTGATTAATATTATGGTACTCTACTTGAAGACAAAAAATATGTTATCCTATCAATTATAATTTATGGTATTATGAGATGGCCATATTCATTTATCCTATCAACCTACGAATACCCATCATAATCATGTGCAAGATCACTGATATAAGACTGAGGAGACCTCTCACAATCTCTTGCCTCTTTTCCTTCACTTTCTCCTTTATCCCTTCGAAAGAGGATACAGACTACAACCTCTCCATCTAAACTAAAAATCTCATTCACCAATTCCCACTAATAAAATTTATTGTCAAAAAGACCTGCACTACTTCTTCCGAGATTACTTCATTACTAACCTTAAAAGTACAGTATGGTGTAAACTATTGCATTGGCACAGGAGATGTGGAAGGATACTAGAATCATAGTTAAGTACAGATGGATGATCTTCTGGGCTAAACTTAAGGAAAATACATTAGAAAAAAAAATACTCTGCCCACACACCTAAAGGGAGGCCACCAAGCCTTCTGATTGAACTAAGGAGTTTCGATACGATCATTCTTTTAGAACTCCTTCAGGATAATGTCAGTTGTGATACTGAGTAATTCAGACGATAAGAACGTTGATGCGGACATTTGACATTAGCTGTTGCAACTCCGACCAAGATTACGGCCAAGCCATTTGTGTCCGAATTCACACTTGTTGAATCGGCATCGAGGTGGAGACACAAAAGTCATAGTACTTTGGAACTGGATATTGTATCCTAGTCTTGAAAAACGTGAAACGAGCTTTCTAATCCGAACCATATGACCCGGCAGAGGTCTTCATATCAAATTTATTTTCTATCACCATCCAAATCCATATCCACACTTCATATAAAAGTAGGAAAAGGCTTGGCATATTCCGAATGATGCAATTATACATACATACACCATCCATGTCCACAACAACCATATAATATCTTTATCACAACGCCAAGCCTTTTTTTTTTATCTCTTACAAGGCTAAGTGATGGAGAAGAGTCTAAGCAATAATTCATCACTACTCAATATAGGGTTGATAATGATTTAATTCGGATTGAATTCAGAAAGAACTTTCTCAATTTTTTTGCAGCCCTGACTAAATCCATCCCCAGTAAAGAAGAATGAAGAAGCGACTAAGTGATAACTTCTATATGCCACAGTTCATCACTACAAAATGGCATCTACATAGTACACTGAAACTTACCAGCACCTGAGGGCGGAAGCCGGTTAATCCCTCGATTGTCCCCCTGCAGCTAACTTTTGAAGTGTGTTACTACCGATTTCTTCACTACATCAAACAGCTTGCTCAAGTGAACTTCAGAAAGATCTAGTACTGGATCAGGTAATAAGAGAATTCAGAAACGGAACTAGTATACACATATTTGTACAATCTTTCTAAATTCTGTTGGCTAATTATCACCACTGATCCCATTTATTTAAGAAATCATTCCACATTACGGTTGCTATTGATTCTCGTAAAGATGAAGCAATTTGTTCCTGAATTGAGGCAGCAAATTGCAGCTCGGGTTGCTCATCAAAATCGGGCAATTCATTCATCATCACCCCCTCAATGCTAGAAAACAACCAATCATGTCTTTCCTCACGTCGGATGTAATTATGTAGAACACATGCAGCTATGACTATATCCCTTTGAATATGTAAGGCATACTGTGGGGCAAGTTTGAGAATAGGAAATCGAGCTTTCAGCACATCGAAAGACCTCTGTATGACATTTCTAAGAGAAGAATGACGATGATTAAAGAGCTCCTTTGCATTTCTGGGCAGTTGATTGGCACCTCTATATTCATGCAGGTGATACCGAATTCCCGGATATGGTGCAAGAAATCCTTCCATATTTGAGTAACCAGTATCAACTAGATAATATTTTCCTGTAAGAGCAAAAGTCTAGGGTTAGTTTCACTTCCAATCAAGTGACCAGCATGATAAATAAAAACTTCAGGCTAAAAGGTAAGTGATGAAGAGAAGATAAAATTTAGCTATCGAGCGATCATGCAACAAAAATATGGACCTGTAGTTGCACAGAAATGTAGATTCTTATACTATATTTATTCATTAGAAATGAGGCAACCGTAAATCTCATACCCGGGTTTCGAGAAAGAAAAAGTTCAAAAGTAAAACCTTCAGAAATTGGAGGAAAATTCTGATCTGGGTCATCTAGGACTGCTCTTAAAACCCGTGAATCAGCAGCAGATCCTTCCCAACCTGGATAAACAAATATAAACTGTAGATCGAATGTGCAGGCTGCCAAAACATTTTGCGATAAAAAACCTTTGGTATTTCGAAAACGAGACTGATCTTTTGCTGGGACATGTGCAGGGATGTGCATTCCATCTATGACACCAACACAATCCTGAGAGAAAAAAAGTTAAGTGAATCACCAATGATAGAGATATAATGAAACAGGAGACATCAGATATTAACCTTGAAATATGGAAAAAATCGATTACTACTATGTATTTCCAGAGGTGTATTGATATTCGGGGGTTGTAAGAATTCCCGAGAAAGTGACTTGATTGCCTTCAAAACATTATTAAAATGGCGACTTATGGTTTCACCCGAATGTTGAAATCGCTCTTGGATTACTCTGTTGCGTTCATTATGTCCCACAATATTTAAGAAAATTGCCAGCTGCTCCTCGATCATAACACCAGCTGTATCATGTAACATACCTCTATGTCGAAGAGTGTAACATAGCTTGTGAAAAACGTGTTTATCCATCCGGAACATTTCTCGACAAAGATCATCAGGTCCTTCTAGCACCTCATTCATAAAACCACTTCCACTAGGTAATGAAGCACAACGGATTTGCCTGGTTATGCTATTATAGTAATGGTAACCTGCAGCTGCAGCAACTAGTTCCATCTCATCCAATTCTAAATCAAGGTCATCCATGCCAGTCGACATATCTGTGATATAAAATCAAATGAAGACTGTGTAATGCAATGCAAACAGTGAATAGCTTGTAAAAGAAAACCAATCACACATCCAATCAACAAAACCAAACAATATTTTTTTGGTTTTAAAACAAAAAGAATCAGAATAAACCACTGATAATCATTTTTTAAGATCATTAATCCAAATCAAGTAACCATGAATTCAAGGTGTCATACATGCCAAAACCTAATGATGAGACTAAAAGGTACACAAAGTAATAATGTCATTAACTATTTCATCTATGAACTAGACATAGAACTACACTTGCCCTGCAACCATGGCAACCTTTTATCACTCTTAAGAGATATAAATATTTCTCTAGCATTGGGGTTCTCAAACAAATCCAAAGCAAGAAAGTAAATCCGTTGATCAACACCTTGCATCTCATCTAACACTTTTATGCATTTGCTTATAGAAAACCGGTCCTCATTCTTCATAATTATCGATGCCCTCAATTTTGAAGCGGCTGCAATTTCTAGCATGGCATCCACTATGGCATCTCCATTAGCTTTACGACTTCTCTTCCGCCTGCCAGAACTTGACGGTGTCACGGATTGACGCTTGTTGTCCCCTTCTAGCATGTTAACATTATCACCAGAGCCCGTGGAAGCATCGTCTTCAACATAATTCATTTGCCCACTAGGATCGACAGACATGTTTTAAGCCTTGAAATGCATCAAAATTAAGCAATTTTCATTCCCACTGTTCCAGTTCCAGAATAAAAATTAATTGCAGAAGTATTACATGGAAAAATGTTCTTATAAATAAGCATCTCTACAAAACCAATAAAGACAAAAATTTCAAAAACGAACCACAGCTGAGGACAATAGCGGGCACAGATTCACCTCTAATAAAGCTTTATAAAAGTTATGCTACATACCTAGTCTCGAGAAAAAAAATGAAATAAACAAGAAATAGTTGTCAGGTTTCACATTCCAGGAAAAAGGCAAGCTTTTTCCCCCAACTAAACAAAATCTTACTAAATTTTTCTCTTTTCTTTCCCTTACTTCCTCACTGATCTGATATTGAACTGAAACAGATTACGGGAAGAGAAATGGTGATTAAATGGAAATTAAAACGAAAAAAAACAGAAATTTAAACTTGAAATTTCTGGGCTTTCAAATATAAACCCTAATGTTGTCGTGAAAAAAATGATTGGCATTTAAAAAGAACGAATTAACAAATAAAATCACACAGAGAGAGAGAGTATGAAAGAAGTACCTTTGAGTTTGAAACAATTTTGATGAGTTTAACTTCACTACTTTTCCACGGGAAAAAGGAATCCCCAACTCAATTTACCCAATTTCACTCACGCCTTTATTATTACTTTATCACAGCATTATATGGGTGGAAAAATTAAGAAATAAATATATGTATATTTTTAAAAGATGATTATACTATATTAAATTAAATTAGTGAACATAATAATTAGTAAGTTAAAAAAGATAACTTTTATCGGAAATATCTTTATAAAAAATTAGGGTAAACTATATATTGGGTCATCTATCAATTTTCATACTTTTATTTTAGTCACCCAAATATTTTTTTCTTAAATCTTACTTTTACGTTTCATTTCTTTATTAGTCGTATGTTGTTAGGTTTAGAGATGACCATGAGTCGAATTTTTGAGCCACCTGAACCCAACCCGAAAATTAAATCCCTCCTCCAACACACGACTCAAGTTTAGGAGGATCTCATCTGATCCGATATTTTAGGTCAAAATTTGCACATGACCTGATTCGACCTATATATATAATCTCAATCGTCTATTTTCATCGATCAAACAATTATAAAGCTGTGTAAAATTAAATATGTAATTATATATATAAGCCTTTACAAGTTGAATTGGATATTGAGAAAACAAACTTTTTTTATAATATGAGGTTGACCTCTTACGCACTTATAAACAATTTTAGTGTCAAATTAAATTCAAATAATTTTATACCTATTATAAAAAGCAATTCTCATTGCAAGAGATTGCTCAATTATAGATTGAGGAGCTTTTTTTTTTTATCTTGACACATAAATAATGTCATTAAAATTTGTTTGAGATTAGACGGGTTCAATTATATTATTAAGGAAATTTGATTTTGAATATATTTTTGGATTATTTTTTCTAATTATAAGATACTATGTTATATACACACACTTATATATTAATAATATAGTTAATGCATATTTTTACTTGTTTATATTATCATTCTGTTCATATTGTTTGCACGTGTATTTTAAGTGTTTTTCTATATCGTTTTTGTGTAGTATCTTAGTTTATTTTACACATTTCATTATGTTATTTTGATTTATTTTATAAAAAAATTGATTATTTATTTTGCATACATCGTTTTAATAGTTCAACTTAAATATATATTAATTTTGTATCATCAGTTGATCGAATGCCAATCTAATTAAGAATTTATATAAAAAAATAAAACTTTTTATCGGAATGTTCGAAAATTTAGGTTAAGTTAGAAGCATTCATAGATTAAGTTTATGAATGAAATTAACATCAATAATATTTGTTATATCAGGGACGAATATAGAATTTTATAGGATATACTACACCAATGGTCATGAATATTTAAGTAAGTTTTTAATTTTCTCATTGAAGTTTCAAAAATAACAAATTGGTCACTAGCGTTATTAATTTGTAACAAAATGGTCACTCCACCATCATACCTATTAAATTATTGATGTGATAACGTTAACAAAAAATGTAATATTTAATTCTATTAAATTATCCTTAAATTATTGCTAAAACATCAAACAAGTCATTTAACAATGGTTTTATATCTAATTTATTTTCGAAAACTTTCCTCGAAGATGAAGCCATTTTTTTCTCTTGAGAGAAGCTCGAATTGTTGAGAAATTAGAGCTGCTACACAGAACCAGGTTAGAAGTTTATAACGGAGTTGTAGAAGTGGGCTGTCATGGTGACAAGGAAACAGAAGTGTTCTTCGAAAATTTGGGGTAAATTGATGTTTAACTACATAAGAAAAACTAGAAATTAAAAAGATTTTAAGAGTAAATTAGATATGAAATAATTATTTAAGGGTTTATTTGATGTTTTAGTAATAATCTAGAGATAAAATTAAAGATTAATCTTTTTTTAACGTTGTCATATCATCAATTTAACGGACATAACAATGGAATGATTATTTTCTTACAATTAAATAATATTAATGATCAATTTATTACTTTTAAAATTTCAGTGAGGAAAATGAAAATTTACTTAAACATAAATAACCATTTTGTGTCGTTTACCCAATTTTATTTTATATGAACTCATTAAGAAATTCAAACTTATAAAATTTGAAGGAGGACGAATATATTTTATTGATAAAAATATATTTAAAATATATAATAATTTGAATATTTTAAAAAGGATAACTGACATGTTCGCCCCCTTTTGATCAGCCCGGGCTATATTTGTAAATTTAGGAAGTATTGTTTTTGTTTTTGTTAGGTTATTTAATGAATAGATCAAGGATTTTATGAGCAACTGTTCCTCTAATCTCTAATAAAGTTGCTTTGCCCTAACATCAAAGATTTTATTAGCAAGGAATTTGTATTAATGTCTGATTTTCGATATAAAAAACTGACCCATTAATGTTTCATATCATAGCTTATCCGTGGTAAAAGAAGTGTTGTTATTCTTTAAGTTATTGAATTCAAACATTATAAATGTTAAAAGTATGAGGTTTTAATATCAAATGATTGAGAATTATCTTTGAACAATACTATCTTATATTTACTATAGATTAATAAAAAGTTATTTAATCAAATATTAAAAATCATTTTTCCTAAAATAAAGCATTAAGAGACTAGTGAAGATATTAATTTTTTATCCATATTATTATTATTAATATTATTATTATTATTTATTATTATTATTATTACTATTATTATTATTATTATTATTATTATTATTATTATTATCATTATTATTATTATTATTAAATATATATTAAACATATATATATAAATAATAATTACAGACCAATTACAACTGGACCGGCCCAGTTACAAACAAACCAGAACCGGTCCAAATCAAACCAGAAACCCTAAACATTTGGGTTTCCAGTTAGGGTTTCCTAACCCTAATCTAAACCAGCCGCCTCATCACAATCGTTGGATCTGGCACGATCCAACGGTCCAGATTGCCCCAGATGGAAACCCTAGGGTCTGATACCCTAGGGACACGCGGCCGCCGTTGCTATCTCGCCGCCTCCGCCGCTGCCACGTCCCAACCGAACGCTCCAGAAGCTCCAACGCCAGCCGTCCACGCCACGACTACGGGGTGAGTCACCACTGGTAGTCCGGTGACTCACCGAGATCCCCTCTTCGGACCGGTCCGACGGCTACAACGGTGGTGGCTATAAAAGCCACCACCCCAACCTGAAAAAAAAAGATAGAGACAGAGAACGGGACAGAGAGACAGAAAAAAAAAGAGAGAGACAAAAAAAAAACAGAGAAGATACAAACTATTACCAACGATCTCAGCAGCAAAGAACCAGAAAAAAAAAGAAAAATGAAGAAGAGACTTACCGAGGAAGCCTCGACCACCGGATCTCGTCAGAACCTTCGAAACATCGAAGGTATTTTTGTAGATTCGCTCCGATTAGGAGCTTTTTAAGGGAAAAGAACACCGGGACCGTGGACGGTCCGATCTATCTATTAGTATAAAAATAATTTTTTCCGGCCACCGGATGCGGTGGCCGGCGGTGACATTCACGGTGGCACACGGTGGCCGACCGGTGACCGGCTTCCCTCCGATGAGGGAAGCTAGAGAGAAGGCAGAGAGTTTTAAAACTCTCTCAGTTTAGAGAGAGAGAGTGAAATGAAAAATGAAGGCTGGCCCTTCGGGCCAGTCGGTTTGGACCATATATAGTCCTTCCCGAACGACGTCGTTTCGGGAAGGACTATGCGCGTAATTATAAAATAGTTAAACCCCGTCCGCAGTCCTCCGAACTTGTAAACTTTACATTTTAGTCACTAAATTGAATTTATAATATTTTTAATTCAGTCTTCGAATTTTAATTTCTTTTATTTTAGTCCTTCATATTAAAATAATATATTTAGGATAAATTACAGATTTAATCCATTAATTTTAATAAATAATATTTTAATCCCTAGTTTATATTTTTAATTTATTTGATTCTAATATCCGAATTTTAGATAATTTTATTTTAGTCACCAAATAAATAAAATAAAGAAATAACATATTTAATCCCTATAATTTTGATTAATTATGAATTATATTTTTAATTTTATTTTTTATTGTAATTTAGTCAGTTATTTTATATGTTTTCATTTATTTTATTGTTTTTAAATATATTATTTTAGTAGTATTTGTATTTTTATTTTATTATATTGTTAAATATTTTTATATTCATAAATATATAATAAATAGTATTTTTAAATATTTATTTTTAATATCGAAGAAAAGGACAGTCTTAATACAACTGGATGTCCTATTCTGATATTTTAAAATTAAAAAGTAAACAATATTATTTAAATTAATATTTATCAATATCAAAGAAAAGAGCTGTCTTAAGGCACCTAGAAGTTCTTTTCGGATATTTTTAAATAAATAAATATTTTTTTATATAATTTTGAAATAATAGAATTATAAATTAAATATATTTTTGAATTTTTAAAATTTTAATAATAGAGACAATTTATAATTAAAAAGTACCAATTTTGGGCGTTGTAGGGGTGCTAATCCTTCCCTAAACGTAACCGACCACGAATCCCTTTTTATTATTAAAAAGAACGAATTTTTGGTTATAAATGCAGATCAGTTCAATTTTTTTTAATTGATGTTTTCTTAACTCTTTTAAAAAAAAATAATTTTTAGGTATTCGATCTA